GTAGGATAAGCAGGCCCTTCCGAGTCAGGTTTAGGTTCTAATTCAGACTCTTTTTAAAAAATATATATTTTTTTTGTGTTTTAGGTTTTGGGGTACATGTGAAGACCATGTAGGATTGTTGCATAGGTACATAGATCACAATGTGGTTTGCTGCCTTCCTCCCCATCACCTATACCTGGCATTTCTCCCCATGTTATCCCTCCCCAACTCCCCACCCCGCTCTGCCCCTCCCCTAGTTCCCCCCACAGACCCCAGTGTGTGATGTTCCCTTCCCTGTGTCCATGTGTTCTCGATGTTCTCTTGACCTTACTAGTTGAGAAAGTTACTTAACTCATCAGAACTTCAGTTTCCTCATCTATAAAATGGCAGTAATAATCCTTATCTCAAAAATCTGTTACAAAATGTAATGCCTGGCACATGGAAACAGCTAAACAAGTGATAGTGCTATTAATTCTACCCAGCTCCAACGGTGCTTCCTCCTTGGCTCGTCCCTTGTGCTCCCACTGGGAAATCCGCTTTCCCTCTCATGTCATATATCATCATGTCCACCTGTTCCCACTTTTATGGCTCCCATCTGTATCTGCTACCTTATATGACACATTTCTACCCATGTCTTGTCTCCCCCACCAGCCTAAGAACTTCTTGGAAGCAGTATGCATCTGTGACTCACTCTGTAAGCCTGACAGTCCCAAAAACAATGGCTTAAACACGGTATGTGCACAAGTATGTATTGAATGAATAGTATGTGTTTGCTAACTATATATGCCACTTATTAGATGTGTCATGTTGCCTTGCAATATAAGTAGGGGCCACATTAGTTGTTCTGAGTAACGCCTAGCCTCAGTGTTTAGCAAATACTCAAACAACATCAGAGACTGAAGCTGCCAACATAAAAATAAAGGACAAACAGAAAAGTTGGTAATACAGTCACCTTTCAGAGGGATAGTGTTTTTATTTTCCACTAGTTTAAGTTATAATCACCTTGCACTCCAATAATTATAAAGAGATCACATTTAAGTGAGGGGGTTCCAACTACTACCGCTTATGCATTTCCTTTCAGAAATCTACAGAAATGACACATTCACCAACAGATATATTAATAATCTGAAGATGTATTATCAACAACTTTGTTTAGCCATTTCCATATACAGAGCATTTTTATAATCCATTAATTCCTTTGAGCCTCACAACAATCTTGGGAGGGAGGTATAATTACCCCCATTTTACAGATGAAGTAAAAGTTATTTGGGGCCAGGCACGGTGGCTCATGCTAAGGCCAAGTGGGTAGAATTGCCTGAGCTCAGGAGTTCAAGACCACCCTGTACAACAAGACAAAACCCCGTCTCTACTCAAAAAATACAAAAAAATTAGCCAGGCATAGTGGTGGGTGCCTGTAATCCCAGCTACTCAGGAGGCTGAGGCACAAGATTGCTTGAACCCAGGAGGTGGAGGTTGCAGTAAGCTGAGATCACAGCACTACACTCCAGCTTGGGCGACAGAACAAGAGTTTGTCTCAAAAAAAAAAACAAGTGATTTGGCTGGGTGTGGTGGCTCACGCCTATAATCTCAACACTTTGAAAGGCCGAGGTGGGAGGCTTGCTTGAGCTCAGGAATTCCAGATCAGACTGGGCAAGATAGCGAGCCCAGTTTCTTAAAAAAAATAATAACATTACCCAGGCATAGTGGTGTGTACTTGTAGTCCAGCTACTGGGCAGAATGAGATGAGAGGATCACTTGAGCCCAGGAATTTGAGGTGAAAGTGAGCTCTGATTGTGCCACTATACACCAGCCTGGGCAACGAAGTAAGACTTTGTCTCTAAAACAAGAAAAATGAAAAGTGATTTGTGGCACCATGTGTGGTGGCTCACGCCTGTAATCACAACATTTTGGGAGGCCGAAATGGGCGGATCACTTGAGGCCATGAGTTTGTTATCAGCCTGGCCAACATGATGAACTCTGTCTCTACCAAAAATACAAAAACCATCCAGGCCTGGTGGTGTGTGCTTGTAGTCCCAGCTACTCAGGAGGCTAAGACACGAGGATCACTTGAACCCAAAGGGCGAAGACTGCAGTGAGCCGAGATCATGCCACTGCACACCAGCCTGGGTGACAAAGCAAGACTCTGTCTCAGAAAAAAAAAAAGTGATTTGTGTTAGATCCCAAGTTGGTGAAAGCCAAGAACGTAATCCTGGTCTTCTAACTCCGATTCCAATGTTCCTTTCTCTCCAAATAAACCGAGAGCATGTTTTGCTTCCACCCTACCACTTTGAGAAAGTCGCTCTGCTGGCACACTGTGAGGAAGCAGAGTGGGAGTATAAACACCACTGTGGTCAAGACAGTGGGAAACATCCCACCTTTGGCTCTAGCTAATCAGACTATTAGAATCCAGCAACTGAATGGAAAGAAATGGAGAATGGGTTAGCTGCTGAGTTTTATTTTCTGCCTGTCCTATTTTTGGCTTTTGTGTATACTCAGAAACAGAAAACTACCACAAATTTCAAGGAGCCCCTGATCTAGAATATCTCTTGGATCTTTTGCTCATATGCAAAATTTTGGCCATGAGTTCAATACCAGCCTGGCCAACATGGTGAAACCCATCTCTACTAAAAATACAAAAATTAGCCAGGCCTGGCTTAATTGTTGTCTGCTTAATTGTTGACTCTTACCACTTTGAGTCTTAGAAAAGAAGGAAAGACGCCAGCTGCAGTGGCTCACACCTGTAATCGCAGCACTTTGGGAGGCCAAGGGGGTTGAATTACCTGAGGTCAGGAGTTCGAGACCACCCTGGCCAATGTGGTGAAACCCCATCGCTACGAAAATGCAAAAATTAGCCAGGCACAGTGGCACACACCTGTAGTGCCGGCTACTAGGGAGGATGAGGCAGGAGAATCACTTGAACCCGGGAGATCCAGGCTGCAGTGAGCTGAGATCGTGCCACTGCACTACAGCCTGTGTGACAGAGAGAGACTTAATGTCAAAAACAAAAATTTTAAAAAAAGAAAAGAATAAAAACCTTTACTTGCCCCATCTTATGAAACTTTTGCCCTTCAACCATGTTTTATTGAACTGCTTTTTTTTTTCTTACAAATCTTAATCTCTCTGATATGCATTAGCTGGTGATTTTTAGCACACTTTCAGTTAGCATCCACTTCACAAAGCCATTCCGTTCCTAGGGCTTATGATAAGATTCGTTTTACTGTGGATACAGCACCAAGCAGTTTACCATAATGTGTAAACAAAACAAAACAAAAAACAAAGCTGAAACATTCCTCCTTTTCCTTTCAGTGAACTCTCACCTTTCTATTTATGTGGCATAACTCGCATATCCTTAACCTCTTAAGGATCAGCATTTCAGATTATACCAGGAGTTTTCTCTTGGTCAGGCCACAGTAAAACAAACCATTAAATAATCAAACGCAATCAAATGAGCTGCAGGAAGTTCGACAGTGTACATATTCTGACCAAAAGTGAGCAGAGAACATATGCAGGAAAAGCACAGACTCCAAGGGGCAAATCAGAAGGGCTACACAAGAAATACAAACTGGCAGCAGTTACCACGGCACTTTTTCTCTTTTTTTTCTTTTGAGATGCAGTTTTGCTCTTGTCGCCCAGGCTGGAGTGCAGTGGTGCTATCTTGGCTCACTGCAACCTCTGCCTCCCAGGTTCAAGCAATTCTCCTGCCTCAGCCTCCCAAGTAGCTGGAATTACAGGTACCTGCCATCATGCCCAGCTAATTTTTCTTGTATTTTTAGTAGAGACAGGGTTTCACCATGCTGGCCAGGCTAGTTTCAAAGTCCTGACTTCAGGTGATCCACCTGCCTCGGCCTCCCAAAGTGCTGGAATTATAGGTGTGAGCCACCGTGCCGGGCCTTGCACTACCACTTTAAATCTTTCTTTCTCCCTGCTCTTGGTTGACTGCATCCACCTAAGAAGGTTGCCACATTGGTCCTAGACTCTGTATTTGGTGATAAATCCACTCAAAACAAAGTTATAACAGTATAGGACATACTTGTCAATGACTGACTTTATTTTTCACAGTCATCTTTCAGCCAAGAGAAAAAATTAACTATCATTCCACCCAATCATTACCCTCCATTCTTCTGGGTATATGCTTTGGCATAAAGGGTTGGCTTGCTTGCACTCTCGTTGGGGATTTTTATTATTCTTTCTTTTACTCCAAGCCTCCTGCCAACCGGCAGAAAGAAAACCTCCACACACAATGGGGGAAGGAAAGAGCTTCCTATAGCTGAGTCAGCTGTGACCACTGGAAAAGCCAAGCTAGGTGAAGTTCCTTCAGCCCAGCAGCCCCCAACCTTATCCCTGTTTCACTTTCTGGGGACTGAGCCTCTTGTGCCAGGGAGTAAGTAAGCAGCTCTTTGTTCCACACTCAAGCAGAATTCAGTGGCATGTGAAGCCATCCAATAATCCTGAACTTAGATTGACCTTGACCTAACCATAGTTTAGTGTGATCAAGAAAATAATTCACGGGGCAAAGGTGCTTTCCTTAAAAAACAACTTGCCATGGGAAATTTTTTACTGTCCTCCACACTTATCTGTAGCAAATTGAGACTAGGACAAAATATTCAAGCAGCTGACCTTAATCCCCAATTGTTTAGGAGGTGCTGTGGTAGTTCCTTGGTCAGCTTAGATATCACTTTGCCCCAGACAGGCGTGTTGAATATATCTAACAGTACAGCAGATTGTCCCTTAGGAACAAACATCTGCCAAGTAAGGGTAATTGCTGAACAAGAGGGTCCCTGGCACAGCTACATATCATGTCTTGTAAGGTCAAAGCCACTAAAGAGAAAGGCCCAAAGTTCTATTTGTATCCACCACTTTCCACTTCTACCATCTGTACTCCCCAAGTGTGGGAATCCCATTTGCCTCAGAGATCTGGGCTGGGAGTCACCCTGCAACCTCCCTTCCCCTGGTGGTGTGGAAAAGCTTAAAGGCCAGAGGCACCAGATCAGAGAAACAGCTCATCGAAGTTTTGCACTTACTTCTCATAGCGCTGATGAGTGCGTTGCCGTCTTTGATCACGTCTTTGATGAATTTGTTGGTCCTCTCCAGTTCCTGCTCATAACACTTGAGCCTCTCTCGGAAATCAGGGCTGTCCAGGTAGCAGTCGCTGAACTCCAGTGGGGGATGTCCCATGGTTCTGATGGCCGGGAGTAGGGGGAAAGAGGAAAGACACAAAGACCGGGAGCATCAATGGCACAGTAGAGGAAGTAGAGGGGACGGACTGAGCGCCCGACCCGCCTAAGGAAGCTTATAGCCTCTGTCCCTTTGGAGGACAGGTACCTGTTTCAATGAGATTCCTGGGGAGCGCTGGCTGGTCCGGACAGAGAACCTGCGCCCCGGCAGTGGCTTCAGAGCCAGAGAGAGCCAACTATCGCAGTCAGATCCCGGCAGGATGCTGCCTAGCAAGCAGCATGCCCCCTAGGCATCGCCTCCCCAGATAGGCGGCAGAAACAGCAGCCCGACTTGCCTCCGGAGACAGGCCGGATCCTTCCTGAGCAATTGCAAACGTGACACTTGGGCCCGCCCGCCCAGGGCGTAGGCGAGGGTGAGAGCTGCAGCTGGGAGCAGCCTCTCCTGGCTACAGACTCCTCGCTCCCGAGCGAGCGGAAGACTTCCTTAGCCGAACTCCGCGGGCAACCCGATTGCACTGTCCCCTCCCCCTTCTTAAAGCCAACGCCTGCGCCCCGCCCCAGCGAAGCCCGAGGACCAAACAGGAGCGCTCGGGCTCCTTCTTCAGCTGTCTTCCTTGTACCCTAAGGTTTCGTGACCAGGGCCCGCCGGCTGCTAAGACTTCTTCCTGGTGCAAAGAAGCTTGCCGGCCGTCCTGTTAGGCGCCGGAAGGGTTAAGCCGCGGCGGCAATTAAACGTAGCCTGGCTCCATAGACACCGCAGCGGGAAGAGGAGGGCGAAAGCGCGACGCACAATAGCCGCGGTGGCCCAGCGTTTCCCTACGGAAACTGGGGAGCAGTCAGCGCCCTAGGACTCCAGCTGGAAAGCGTGGCGGCCTGGGAGATGTAGTCTTTCCGTTTGCACTCCCCAAGACTCCTCCCTGCAGTCTCCCCACCACCCCGCCTGGGCTGCTGCTCTCCCAGAACCGCATTCCCGGCCTGCCGCAGGCTCCAGAGCAGGGCCCGGCCGCCAGGGGCAGGTGCGCTGCGCTGGACTCTGCGGGAAGTTTCCGAAACTACAGCAAGAACCCGCAGCACTAGATTGCAGGAGGCCATCTGTCACGTCCCATGATTTGGCTGGATTGTGTATTCTTTTGCCTTCCCCTCTTTCCAGCCTCCTTCGGACCTACCAACTTCTTTTCCTTTTTCCTTTCCCATGTCTCCTGCTCCAAGCGCTCTAATTTCGGTGGGCCTTAGACCTGAGGGGTTGACTCCTACTCTAGGGTCTCTGTGAAGCTCAGAGCCCCCTGCCAAGGAAAGGGAGGCCATAATTCAGAGTTAATTTTTTCCTGAATAGGACCTCACACCATGGTTTTTGTGGCATATGCCGATGATTAATGCATTTGATTTTCCATGTGTAAATGGAAAGTCTAAGAAGAGGATGTTATAAATTGTCTTGCAGCTTGCCTTGAAGGCAACAGCCTTGAGACTAAGGGTAGCTAGAGGCTCGAAAAACTAAAAAACAGTGTCTGCGTGGGCAAAGAGATCCCTTTAATTTTGCAGAAGTCTTTTAGATTGCACTGTGAAGAAAGGCAGAACTAAAGGGGACTGTAAACAGAATAATAGTGGCTAACTCACCTGACTTAGGGTCCTGTTGCTGCTGTGACAAATTGCCACAAACTTGGTGGCCTAAATCAGCATAAAGTTACAATCTACAGCTCCAGAAGGCAGAAATCAGAAATGGGCCTCACTGGGATCAAATCAAGATGTTAGAAGAGTTGTGTTTCTTTCCAGATACTCTAGGGGTAGAATCTGTTTCCTTACCTTTTCTGGCTCAAGCTGCTCACATTCTTTGGCTCACAGCCCCTAGCACTGGCCAGTCAAGTTTTTCTCATGCTGCATCACTGTGACTCTCATGCCTCCCCTTAAGGACCCTCATGATTACACTGGGTTCACAGGATAATCTCCCCCATCATATCATCCTTAACTTTATCACATCTGCAAATTTCCTTTTGCCACGTAAGATAACATAGTCACAGGTTTCCGGGATCATAACAGGGACATCTGTGAAGGAGGAAGCATTACCCACACAACCTATAGTCCACTTCACTAATCTTCGAAACAACCCTATGAGGTTGGTCTTATTATTATACCCATTTAAAGATGGAGAGGTTGTGTCAAAGAGAGTTTAAGTGACTTGCCCAGGGACACACAGCTAGTTAAGTAGCAGCACTTGAACTTGAGCCTAGCCCGGCTGGTTCTAGATAAAGGTAGCGCTCTTGACCACTACACTATATAGCAGAATGGCAGAGTCCAATGAGAAAACACCCTCTGAAAATAAATAAGTAGCCACATCTCAGGGAGAAGTTTTGTTTCTTACTCTTTTTATCTTTAAGGTAAATTTATAGGAAAATGTCCAAAATAAGCTTTAAATGCACCATGGGTTGAAAACTGCAGGTACTAAAAGAAGGTGCCTATTCAATGGGTATATGGTCTTTCACTCTAGTAAGTTTCCTTTTAGCATTCATTCACTCATTTAACAAGCATTTTTGAACAGCTCCTATATAAGTTTATTTATAGAGCCTATACATATATTTTCATCACTATAAAAATTGCCATTGCCATTTTAAAATTATTTATTTTTTGTTTGAGAAAGGGTCTCACTCAGGCTAAAATGCAATCAATACCTCAGTCATGGCTCCCTGCAGCCTCAACCTCCCTGGACTAAGGTGATCCTCCCACCTCAGCCTCCTCCTAAGTAACTGGGACTACAGGCACAGACAACCCACACTTGGCTTTTTTTTTTTTTTTTTTCTACAGAGGGGATTTTGCCATGTTGGCCAGGCTGGTCTCGAACTTCTGGGCTAGAGGGATCCACCCACTGCAGTCTCCCAAAGTGCTGGGATTACAGGTGTGAGCCACCTCGTCCAGCTGCTATTGACATCATTGATGTTAGATTCAATCATACTCATCTAAGTTCCTATACTCAAAGTATTTTTCAGTCATCTGTGTTATCCTTTATCTAGACAATGAAACTAAAGCACAGAAAAAACAAATTCCCTAGACCAAACACAGAAGAAGAAACAGGGTAAAATTAGAACTCACTCAAGGTGTGGTGGCTTACACTTGTAAACCCAGCACTTTGGGAGGCCAAGGCAGGTGGATCACCTAAGGTCAGGAGTTCAAGACCAGTCTGGCCAACGTGGCAAAACCCCATCTCTACTAAAAATACAAAAATTAGCCAGTGTGGTGGCATGCACCTGTAATGCCAGCTACTCAGGAGGCTGAGGCAGGAGAATTGCTTGAACCTAGAAGGCAGAGGTTGCAGTGAGCCAAGATTGTGTCACTGCACTCCAGCCTGGGTGACAGAGCAAGACTCCATCTCAAAAAAAGAACTCAGTTCCTCAGATAATACTTGCATTCATCAAGCACTATCTTAAATGCTTTGCAGAATTTCTCCCTAATCCTCACAGCAACCCTACGTGGCTGAGAGTCTTTAAATTTTGTTCACATAACCCCTAAAATAATTTTGGGGAGCTATGTACTCCTTCATTTTTAAGTTGACATCTATTTTTTTTTTTTGAGACAGAGTTCCTGGGCATTAGAGTGAGACTCAAAATTTATTGGAACTGCATCTCTTAGTACGATGGATAAGAAAGGGGTAGGTTTCAGGGCATTCAGTTAAAGAAGATTCCTGGATACCAATATTTTAAATTTTTTCTATGTTTAGCCCCAAGGGTTTTTATGCCCTGGGCCAAAGCACCATAGTAAGATTCTTGACCTTTGAAAGGTATGCTTTCCCTTTGAGTTATTGAGCAAGGGAGATAGGAAAGGAAAACTGGAGGTGAGGTCTCAGGCAAATGATTTTTAGAAAAAGTACTAAAGAAAATTGCGTATTTGGAAATTGGTTCCCTTTCGGCTACCTGGTAACCTCAAAGCCCTTGGACAGTTTCCATGTACCTTGAGATGGACTGAGTATTTGAATTCACCCAAAGTTTATATGTTGAAATCTAACTCTCTAGATGATAGTATTAAGAGGTAGGGCACTGAGACTTGGTTAGGTCATGAGGGTGGAGCCTTCATGAGCCGGATGAGTGGACTTGTAAAAGAGGCCTGAGAGAGCTCCCTTGTCCCTTCCACCATGTGAGGACAGAGATAAGACAGCAGTCTACAAAGCAGGAAGCAGGCCTTCAGCAGGCACTCAATCTGCAATATGCCTTGATGTAGGATTGAAGCAGGAGAATAGGGTCTGGAGGCAGGGAACCTAAGGCCATTTCATACTGACTTCCTATAACTAAATTGAAAGGAAGACCCCAACTTTCCATGCCTAAGTAACAGAAGGACCACAGGCTACTCCCTTTGCAAATGCCCACCTTTTCTGAGGGGCAGGTAGAAAACTGAAAGTACCTCTGATTGGTTGCTGAAAGCATAGGAGTGTAAGTGCAGAAGCAAAGTCCTCCTTAAGTGTCTGATGCCAGGGGTCTCTTGATCACTTATGGAACATCAGTCATTCTATCAGTTTTGGTTCACACAAGTTTGCTGAGAGTTTTTATCTCGATGGGATCAGATGATATGTCACCAATACCGCTCTTTGTAACATCACCTCAGCCTCTGATTGGTTGCTTTCCACAATCAGTCAGACTGATTGCAAGCCACCACTTCATTTACATGGAGCGAACATGAAATAGCCAATGGGAAACGTCTTAGGGGGTATTTGGACACCAGAAGATTCTGTATGGGGGTGCTTGAAATGCTTGCTCAGCCTGCTGCCACACTGTGGAGTGTGCTTTCATTTTCAATAAATCCCTGCTTTTGTTTCCTCATTCTTTCCTTGCTTTGCTGTGTGTTTTGTCCAGTTCTTTGCTCAGAATGCCAAGAACCTAGACAACTTGCAGTCAAAACCCTCTACCAGTAATAGAACTTCTTAGCCTTCAAAACTGTGAGAAATAAATTTCTGGGGCTTTTTTGTTTCGTTCTATTTTTCGTTTTTTGTTGTTTTTTGACTGAGTTTCACTCTTGTTGCCCAGGCTGGAGTGCAATGGTGCGATCTCAGCTCACCGTAACCTCTGCCTCCTGGGTTCAGGCGAGTCTCCTGCCTCACCCTCCTGAGTGGCTGGGACTACAGGCACACGCCACCACACCCAGCTAATTTTTGTATTTTTAGTAGATACAGGGTTTCTCAGTATTAGCCAGGCTAGTCTCGAACTTCCGACCTCAGGTGATCTGCCCGCCTGGCCTCCCAAAGCCACCGTGCACAGCCGTAATTTCTGTTGTTTATAAGCCTCCCAGTCTATAATACTTCTGTTATAGCAGCCCAAATAGACTAAGACATACCTTCAGGGCTAGGCTTACCCCAGTGTAAAGACAGCTGCTACAGTATCCTTATCCTCACCTTATATGTGAGGGATGGTAGGCTCAAAGAATTTCAATAATTGCCTAGTCTCATGTAGCTAGTAGGGTTTAACAAACTCCGCTAGTTAGATGCAGTTTGAGTCTGTGACAGTAAAAGGAATACACATACACATGCACTTGTAAGCAGGGTTTGCCACTGTTTTACAAGGAAGCAAAAGAAATCCCATTTTAGGAGGGTCCCAGTCACTCACGTCTGTTATCCCAGCACTTTGGGAGGCGGAGGCGGGCAGATCACTTGAGGCCAGGAGTTTGAGACCAGCCTGGCCAACATAGAGAAACACTGTCTCTGCTAAAAATACAAAAATTAGTCGGGCATGGTAGTGTGTGCCAGTAATCCCAGCTACTCGTGAGGCTGAGACATGAGAATCATTTGAACCCAGGAGGCGGAGGTTGCAGTGAGTCGAGATCACACCACTGCACTCTAGCTTGGGCGACAGAGCGAGACTCTCTCAAAAAAAAAAAAAAAAAAAAAAAACACAAAA